CATCAGCAGCAGTAGCATCATCATCATCATCATCAGCAGCAGCAGCAGCAGCAGCAGCATCAACGACATCATCAAGGTTGATTACATTCCACTGGACCAGAGCCCACATAAAGAGCTTTCTGACCGACTTCTGTCATAAACCTTCGAGTGTTGGTGTGGAAAGCATCTCTTCCAGGTGTGTCTCCAGAACCCATCAAAGATCATTTTATATTTAACATGGTTGAAAACACTTCTCTATCCAACACCTCCACGATGGAATCTCTTTGTACCATTAAATAATGAAGATTTATGTCCGTGGGGCGATTTGGTTGAAAAATAATTGGGTGATTTACCAGATGTGGGAATTATTATTTATCCCTGTAACCTAATTTATGATGAGGAAAATAGTTTATGAGCAACTTAGAAGATGCCAGCTGCAGATTTCCAGAGAGAGATATGTTTTTCTGGCTTTGGGGAACCTCTAGTTGATGAAATCATCATGGATATAAATCAAATTCTGAAAGAACTGGATAATAAAAACACAACAATTCTTTATTTGGCAAACAAATTGAGGGAACAGGAGGAAATTAATATGAAATTAAAAGATATTTCATTGACAAAAGAAACACGAACTATTACAACTCAAACAGTCTCAGAAGATATTCAGACTGAGAATTATCCAAATGTCCTCTTGGAATAAGAAGCTCTCTCAGAGTCTGAAATTGTCCAAATAGGGATTATGTAGAAAAAGATGCTTTTACATCAGAGACTCAAACAGATGTCAAAGAGCCAGACGTGTTGATTGATTATGAAGAAAATTATTTTATTTTCAGCAGACTGTGATTTGGAAGTCCCTGCAATGCCTGAGTGTCCGACAGACAAGGGACCAGAGAGAGTAAATGTTCATCCTAAACAGACGGAAACATAGGATTCTGTTTTTTTAACAGAGACTGAAGAAGGTGAGGAAATCCTGCAAAGTGTGAACTATGTTGCAGAAAATAATCGTGGCACCAAAGAAAATCTGGTTGATTCTCAAACTGCAACAGAAATAGATGAACTGATAAAACTCTTGTTTCCTGAATTACTAAACGAGTTTGAAACAGAAAACAGGTTTGACCTATTAACAGACCTGTCGTTTGAAATCGTGGGAGAGGAAAATGTTGGTGTAAAGAAAAAATCTCATAGACGAAGGAATGGACGTCACGCTGAAAAGAACTCCATCCCAGAAACAGCTCTCATTTCTGAAGAAAAAAGTTCCTCACCAAAAACTGCATATTCAGAAAGTCTGCAAATGGTGGTTATTCCTAGTAAATTGATGTTTTTACATCAGATACTCAAGAAAATGTGGAATTACTGAAAAGAGTGAGTGGGGATGCAGTTAATGGTTGTCCATCCTGGGAATTTACTACGGATTTGACTGAGAAGCCTGGATTTCTAACAGCTGAGGAACCAAAGAATGAAAATGTCCCTTCTAAACTGACTGAAACACTGCAAATCGTCACCATTTATGAAAAGATTTTATTTCAGAAACTGAAGGAGATGATGAAATCCTGCAGGTTTTTAATATTGATGCAGAAAATACTGAATTTGCATCTGCAGATGTTTTTTCAGAAGTTAGTGAGACGTCTGAAACTCAAGCAGTCAAGGAACCAGAGGAAGTAAATGTTGCTTTTAAAGAGAGTTCCCGAAGAAGGAAGAAGAATCGTGAACACAGAGTAAACCTGCTGGTTCTCAAACTGCAGAAGAAATGGACAAACTGATCAAAATCTCATTTCCTGAATTACTAAAGGAGTTTGAAACAGAAAACAGGTTCGACCTTCTACAAGTCAAGTCCAAGTCCTTTACTTTGAATTTTCAAGTCATAATCAAGTCATCTGTCCAACTTCAATTTAATGACATGATAATAAATAAATTCCAGAAATAAAGCTTCTTAAAGCTTCATTAATTTGCTCAAACAAGCAGAAAGTGCAACTGAAATTGGTTTTAAACAAAGTAGTGCTGCATTTAGCAGTACAAGATCAAATCCAGAACAAAGAACGATTTATGATTTTTGTCCATGTCGTGCCACTTTTGTGTTAAAATATCAAATATGCTCAAGTCATCATCAAGTCAACAGATGCAAGTCGATTCAAATCGCAAGTCATTGGCTTTCAAGTCCGAGTCAAGTCATAAGTCTTTATAGATTTTATCAAGTCAAGTCAGAAATCATTAAAATAATGACTCGAGCCCAATTCATGTGACTAGAGTCCACACCTCTGCTACCGAGAATCTGGGGCAGATTGGCCAGATTTTGCAACAGTTTCTACCCTCAGGCCTAACCCTAACAGTTTGCATCCGGGGAGAGAAACAATAACACAAAACTTTATTAACATGTAGAATACAGGTGAAACTGGAAAAAATAGAATAGGGCAGAAAGTCCAGTTATTTCAGTAATTCAGCTTACACTGAGAGATAATTTAATGAGATATATTGCAACTTTTTCATAATGTCAATCATTTTCTTGAGCCAGTCTGTGCTAAAATGACCCTTTACTGGGTTAATGAAAGACCACCCAGCCCCTATCGCCCTTCGGTTGCCAGAATAATCCACCTGCAATTCCAGATAGGCAGGCCGCTCTGTTGGGACTTAGAAAAAATGAAGCTGATTTGTTTAAATTAGTGACAAATCACTTCTGTAGACACAAATAAAGCCCGGGGAGACATTTCAGCTCTTAGATTAAGGTGTTACAGTTCAAGTCACCTCCCATTTCCTGTTTGAAAAATGCACCCCAAGGAAGCGTTGCCTGGCAGATCAAGAAGGTGGAGCCGCTTACAAATACTCACACACAAACAGGCTCACAGCAACATTGTGACATCATTGGTACCAACGAATGTCATAGGGTACCTCTTAGCCAATAGCGATGGCAGATTTAAATTCAAATGTAGTGCAGAATTTTTATCTGAAGAGGGCACAACACTGACAGTTTTAGGCAGATTATTTAAATTTTAACTAAGATGCACTGGTGCAAAATTATTCACTACACATGTCTACAGCATGATTAGACACTCATTTATATAGTTTATCAGCAAAAAAAAAGTTGATTCGGTGGTTACTTGCTCTTTAAAAAGACAAACTAACTGTGAGGAGATACGTTTCGCTTTTGGTTCTACAACGGACATTAGGGCGCTAAAAGCAAGCCAAAACTGCCCCTTTAAAGCACCAAGAACACTTTGGATGTGTTTTGGATTAATTAGCTGATTAGACTGTGACACTTTGAATATTGAACCTATTACAATATATTGAATGTAGGGTTTTTACAGGCTGTAAATCATAATACTCACAATTATAATAAATAAAGGCTTGAAATATCTGTATTTGCATGTAAAGAGTCTATATGATGTATTAGATTCACCTTTTAAGTTCAATTACTGAAATAAATGAACTTTTGCACCATCTTCATGTTGTTTGAGTTTTACTTGTAAGATATAGTAGAGGACTGTTTACACATGTCACTGTGTAGTTAGTGTTGCCCTGTTTCAACCTCAATGATTAAAGTTCTTCTATCCAGAAGAAAACATTATCCCTCTACATAATTTGGTCAAGGCACATGAATTTAAATGTGCAATTTGAGTGAGCAGAGAAAGTCTAATTAAAATGGCACTCTGCCTGCTAAGCTTTAATGTCCTGCCCTGAGAATGAATCACTCTTCGATCTAAAATCCATTTATTACATTGTGGGAAGACATTAGGATGCTTTTTCCTTCTGCAGCAGCCATTAGTAACAGCTGGGTAGCATATTTTTTTTAGATTGTAAAACGGACACCTTTTCTTTATTATCCAAATGCATTATCTCAAATGCTTTATGTGTACACAGGCGTGGTCAAAATTGTTGGTACTCTTCAGCCAATAAAAAAAAAATACAGTGGTCACAGAAATAATTTGAATCTGACAAAAGTAATAATAAATAAAAATTCTATGAATAAAAGTCAGACATTGCTTCGCCCTTGTGTCCCAGCATGCTGTGTTCCAAGCTCGGCCAGCTCGGGGGTGGGAGGCTGTGAGTGGGCCTGGAGGCTTGCCATTGTTATCTCCCAGGGCTCTGGCAACCCCCGGGGTAATCCTGTGTGCCTCTTGGGAGGGAGGTTGTCTGGCGGCTGTCTCCTTAGGGTTCCTACACTTTGGGGAGACCCATGGATCTATGGGGCTTGGAACTTCTCCATCTTCAACGTGTTTTGGGGGCAGGTCTGTGGCCCCTCACACTCGATATTAGACACTCCTATAGAGAAACCTTACATACACAAGCACGTGTACGCACACAGGTGCTCACATAGTGCTCTCACATGGTTGGCTTGGGCATTTTTAACACATCACCTGTGTGGTGGCTGTGGTTTGCATTAAATGCACTATGAACTATTACTGTGTGTTTCTCAGCAAAAATTATTACTTTTATATATCCTCATGTTGTTGGTGTAGTGACATTTTGGTCTTGTATTTTTGTGTGTCCCCTTTTTTTCTCCCTTTTGGGTCTAGAAGCAGATTCTTGCTCATCATTCATTGTTTATTTTTGTGAATCCCCCTTCTCTTACACTTCTGTCTCTGTGTCTGTTGGTATTTTGAACCACCAAAATATTTCCAATAAAGTTTTGGTATCAGGAGTGACATTATAGCAGAAGTTGTAAGACACCACCTGTGAGAATAAAACTGCAAAGCCTGTCTTCAGCATTCAGACATCTATTCTGATTGCTTCACAGCCAGACAGGACACTGTAAAAAAAATAAAATTAAAATAAATACGGTAAATAAAAATATAAAAAAATGGTAAGCTTCTGCAATCATGTTGAGTCAGCAAAAATAAGGAAAAGACTTTAACACTCACCACATCCAGGATGGCGTACAGTAGAACTTCCAGAGATACCTCAGTGGGCTTTCTGAAGTCTCTAACAGGCCGGGTCATGTAGAACAGCTCGTTACTTTTGGTCAAATTCAGGTATTTTAAAACTTCCTGATAACTGCATTCTCCCTCAGGGGAATCCCCGTCCACACCTTTAAACACAAACATATATGAAATGTTCCAGAAAGAAAAGCTGAATTAGATTTTATATGTTTATGTTTATGTTTATTCATTTAGTAGACGCTTTTATCCAAAGCGACTTAAATTTTTGTAACCTATAGGGCATGTTGTATATACCGTATAAAATATATTATATAAATTTACTAATTTACTAAATAAATACATCTCAGTACTGAAACTTTTATTTTGCACCTACTTTTGAATATGAAGTTCATGCATTTTCTTATCAGCCTCTTAGTTTGTCAACAACAATATCCTGTGTTGGTGATTACAGTTGGACACTGGCAAGGAATAACGGTGAACCACAAAATGTGTTTACAATCCTGACTCTGATGCAAATCTCCATTAAACATTTATTATGCACATAGAAAATGATTTATTAAAAAATAAAAAAGATAAGCAAATAAAAAGCTAATTCAGCTGGAAAGGCTTTCTAAAATGTGTACCTTATCTTCACATTATAATTAGCAGAAGTAATACTACTATTACTAATACAAATAATAGTAACTATAATATTAATAACAATAATAATAATAATAATAATAATAATAATAATAGTAATAATAATAATACAACAACAACAACAAATAAAATAATCTTACTCATGAGGAGGAGCAAACAGAAAAAGTTTGTCAGCAGCATTGTTAGAGAATCCAAGCGATGAGGTGATTGTACAGTGAATGTGCTCATCAGGACTATGAAGAAATCTTATCCGGCCAATAGAAAAACAAATCCACCCACAGGAAGTGGGGAGGGTGAAGTGAACACCCATCTGGTGATGGGATTTATGGCTCTTTCACGGGAGCCGTTCATTAGTCGGCCGTTTACCTCAAAGAGCCGTTCAAAAGACTGGCTCCTTTGAACGAAGTGAAGCCAAGAGAACGAGTGGGGTGGGGGTGGGGGGTATTAAGAGCAACGTGTTCCTGTGGTGTCCGTGAGGGCGCACGAGGTTGGTTAGGGTTCCTCCTACGTTCGTCACAGCGTGTTACGTCCCCTCTGGTGTCTAGGAGTGGTGAGGGGAGAACACAGAGAAAATTAAAATAATGTAAAATAAAAAGGGAATGAATCACCGATGGATGGTATCTGTTTGTGATGGGAAATAAGTGAATGGAAGGAGGTTCACGGAATGGTTGTTTCAAAAGGTTTATTTACAAAAAAGTGGATAAAAGGTATTTAATAAATAAACTAAATAAACTCCCTTTTCTAAAACAGGGAGCAGCAACCCGACAACAAACTTAAAGCACTCTCTCTGGCGTTAACCAGAGAGATGTATAGTTAAAGTAAACCAACCACTAAAGGAACAAAAGGATAAACCTAAACCATTACCAAAACCAAAACGACCCACAAAACAGACGCTAGAAATCGCCTTAACTAAAAATCCTCCAAATCAAAACAAAGAGCCAAGCTAAACTGAGGACTAGGAGATTAACAGTAACTGGAGGCAAAAAGGCACTGTAGTTTTTTTTTTATTTTCAGCTGCTACCTGCTTTGGCTAAACTAAGTCTTTTCTACATCTGTTTTAGTTCCGTACGAACGTGGTACCAACGATGGACATCAGGAGCTTCTTTCAACGAAAAACCTCAGGTAAATTTTTTTTCATATATATTCAGTTTAATATAGTTGTATGCAAAACAAAAGGATATTTATTAGATCACTATATTTACTTTACTTTAAATTTGAACAATCAAAGATAAAAAACTTTTCAAATAAAGAAAAGTGAATGAACAAATTCATTTTCTGGCTGAGACATCAATGAGAACAGACAATTTGCTTGAAGAGGACACTACACTTTAAAGATTTTTTTGCATCTCATTTGCAATGTGTTGTCCAATTGCTGTGGCATTCTCTATGTGCCTCAGCAAGATGAGGGGACACTGGAGACTGAAGAGGGTGAGGAAGGGAATCTGGAGGATGAGGGTGTTGCGTTTGTAATCAGGCAGCGGAGGTGACGTCTCGGTTCAACACTTTATTCAAGCTTTACAGCGGTACACCATCTTGTTAACCCCTCTCTCTTCTTCTTCCCCTTTTTCTTACCAGCCTCTTTAGCGGCACCCCTGGTCTGACAGAGTAACAGCATGTAATACTTCGCCTCCTTTACTATAGAACTTCATAAACACAACAGAGGGGACGAAGTCTCTGCAGCACGAAGGGACGAAGTCTCTGCAGGCCGAGGGGACGAAGTCTCTGCAGGCCAAGGGGATGACTCGACTGGAGGCATAGCCGCTGCAGGGGGAGCCTCTCGGACAGGCTGGACCGGAACCTCTCGGACAGGCTGGAGCTGGCGACTTTTGCGCCGCCGTCGACGAGTAAGGCTCATCGAGGGTGCGGGGGTGATGGCGGTAGAAGCAGAGGAGGAGTGGCAGCCCACCGGAGGAGATGCGGCAGCACCGTCAGGAACAGGCGAGGGTGTGGTGGCTCGGCCCATCGGAGGTGCCGCGATGGCACCGGCAGAAGCAGAGAGAGATGAGGAGTAACAGTCCACCGGAGATGATGCAGCAGCGCTGTCTGGAACAGGTGAGGGCATGGAGGTTTGACACATCAGAGATGCGTACGGAAGGTGGTGGTGGTGGTCTTTAGCTGAAGGTCACCAGCAGCTCCTTTGCGAATGGCCAAAAGGAGACCTCTTCTATGGGGTGAATGTCAAAATATTGAACGGCCCACCACAGGGCTCTGCCTCCCAGGCAGAGCACCAGGTACGATACCTTGTTAAACTCGGAGGAGTTCAAATACAAGCAGCTAGCACAGTCTTGGATGAATGTCCAGCAGGTCTCAGGATCTCCATAGTACCTGTACACCTGGGTAATCTGCTGGGTCCTGGGTGGTTGGGTCATTCTATCACGTTGTGTGCCAAGAGGAGGTTAGGACTCAAAGATGCAGAGATTCCAGATGCACAGGGTTGGTAGAAATAACGTAAAAATCCTTTATTAACGAATAAATCCAAAACGGCAGGGAGCCAAAAACCAAAATCAAAAAAGTCCTAATAACAAAACCTAGAGATATCCAAGAATGAAAGAAACCAAGAGATACAAAATCTAAAGAGGGGCACGAGACAAGGCTGACACAAACAATGACCCAACAACACACTGAGACGCAGACAGGGTTAAATACACTGGGTCAGGATGAGTGGGAGATAAGCTGCAGGTGCGTGGGGAGAGAAGCCAAGTGAAAGCAATTACCTCATCAGGGAGAGGAAAGTGAGCAGAGGAGGGGAAACTAACATGAAACTAAATTGAAAAGGAAGCCACAGTTCTGGTAGTGCTTGGAAGGTCATTCCACATTAGTGGAACAATGCTTGAGAAGAGTCTGGATTATCCTGAGTGTGGTGTAGGCACTGCTAGCCGACGATCCTGTGATTTTTCTTTATTTTGCATCATACGTCTATCCGTGTGTGTCTACATTGAAGTGCCCTGTGTCTGCTCTTCTCCTCTCCTGAGGTTCGTCATTGGTCTCCATTTCCTGGGAGGACCTCTCTACACCATCGCCTGATTCGGCTGCCTGCTGCCTGAGGGTCCGGTTCGCTTGGGTCTGGACATGCTGTGGTTTCTGCCGTGGTTGCAGGAACTTTCCAGCTCGCCTGGGGCCTGGTCCGGTCCCTACTCTTCTTCCTCCTACCTGTGGACTATGCTGTGTGGGAGCACAGAGCTCATTCATCCTTTTTGAAATAATCACTTGATGGAAATGATCGATTGCTGTTGAAATTCTTCCTGTCACGGGGATATACAAATGATCTACAATTTGTTGACTTACTGTATTTTCCCCTGACAGGAGTCGCAGAGTCTGCACATAGCCCCTTCAATCAGAGCCTACTTCCTCACACCAGCTGGACTGCAGAGATAATAGAACATAAACAATAACATCTTGTCCTCCAAGGTCCGTCACAGAGGAACTCTTTTAAAATAAACTCCTTTATTCCCAGAAGAAAAGAAGATTTTATAATTAAAAATAATCATTGAATGAACTTTTGTTATTGCTAATTACAAAATAATGAAGTGTTTCATTAATCTGTGTTCAATGATTGCTTTAGTATGTTTACTTGACAAGGTCACAACATTTGCACTCACAAGTAAAGTTAAGTAAATGCATGACACATAAGTTAACCTTTTGCCCACATTCAGAGTCTCCATCACAGAGGGTGTGCCCCTGCGATGCTTGGTAACATCTTCAAACTTGTCAACCTGTGGTTGGATAGTCAATCATAACATCAGTCAATTAAATCTAGCCAGCTCTGGTTTTCCCTCAGTTCAACTTCAGACAAAACAGTTCGAACAGTGCAACAGTTCAAGGGTTTTAGAGAAAAGCTCCAGACCGGCCATCTGAGCGAAAGCCTCTTTAACCAGAAGGATTTTGACACATTGTCAAAACCTTAAATCTTTTTCGCACCTGCGAAGCTGAAACAACACGATAGTTTCCTGCAGAACAAAGCTGACTCAAAACTCCTTCAGAGTTATTTTTAAGACGCTTGGTTTCATCTATCGTTGTGATACGGGGAGACATCCCAGGACTGATTTGGGCGCATCAAGGTTTTTCTACGAGCCAGGTGCAGTGGGGTCGTCAGCCCCGGGACATCTCGTATCCAACGGGGGTCTTCCAGAATGGGTGAGGTGGACACAGCGAGATAGCGTCTGCATGTGGTTCTGATAATAACATTTGTATAGCTTATATGCAAACCAAATTCTTTCCATCCAGAACTCAGCTTCCTGAAGATACGGAGATTCTGAATACATTATATTCACACATAGGTTCCAGACCCCCGTCCCTTAGTTCGCATCCACTCACAGTAAATAATAGTTAAACAATTTGACAAGTCTTAATGGTTTGTAAAATAAATTCTGATTTTGCTTATAACCTGACTGTTTCTTGAATCAAAGCAAAGTGTGTACAATCCCTGAATAAACAAAGAATCCTAGAATCTTCTGCCTAATCATTTTAAGACCAAGCAGGGGATAATCTATATAGATTATCACAGCTATTGGTCCCAAGTAGTGGTAATAATAATAAATAGCTTAAAGCAATTTATTTAATCAAATTTACCCTCTATTATCATTACAGTGCATTACAGCCACCAACTGGATTGGAGTGGAATGACTACCAATCACTTCCTGTTTGTGCATCGGCGTCTTAAAGGAATAGTCCATTGTGGCATTAACAGAGGGGTGCCAGCAGTCAGGGCTAGGGGGCCCCCAACATAAGGGGGCCCCAAGCGGCCACCGACCTATGCCTTGTGGTAAAACCGCCACTGAATCCAGTTAAGCTCCAAATACCAAATCAATTTGATACGAGCAACAGGCATTCCCAGAAGAATAACCTGCAGCTGTTCTCTGAAGCTGTTAGCCATGGGTACCGTCAAGGCCAGATTAACCATATGGGCAACTGGGCAATTGCCCAGGGGTCCATGAACTCTAAAGGGCTGAGGCCCAGGGCAGCAATGGCACGAGCAAAATACTGTACTAGGGTGACTATACCTCCTCTTTTCCCCGGACATGTCCACTTTTCACTCACTGTCCTGGCGGCCGGGGGGGGGGGTTCTTGTATTTATGAAAATGTCTGGTTTTTCATCCAGGAGCAGGGATCGAATTATGGGGGAGCTGGATATCCTACACATCCAGGGGAGCCAGAAAAAGTTTTCTACCTATATTACATCATTCATGGACTCTTTTGAGCAGTGTGCGGCAGAGTGATGATTGTTGGTGCGCAGCGCTCCAGGCTGCTGCGTCCAGCGCACGGTCCATTCTCAAAGTGCCACAACCAAAAAACTATAATTAACACACGATCGTTCTTGTCTGCACATGTTCTCTACTTTCTGTCTTATTTGTGCCTGAAGCGCTCTGCTACTGCGGAGCTCATCACCTGTGCTGCTGTGATTTCACCTCACTGACGCAGCATCGAAACACGCACTCCACTTTATGGTCAGGAGATCCCTTTGATCTGCTCAAAAGTAACTGATGAGGTGAAAAAGTAATAATCCAGGCATCAGTTTTTCTGGAGAGTTTAGAGGAGATGCAGGAAGATGAGAGACAGACAGGACAGGAAAATAGTTAAATAAAAACAAGAAAGCAAAACAAAGTGTTGAAAAGTAAAATGTAGGCAGATTTATCTCACTACGCATTTTTACCTGTATAAAACAATAAGTTATACACATGTAATATTTATACATCTGATACAATTCAGATCACCTTCAAAACCCAGTCACACACCCACGGCCGTTTCAAGGCATTTTGGAGGCCAATGCAAAATGACCCCACCCCCACCTCGGGCTCCCCAGAAGCCTCTGTGTAATTCTTACCATGTCCAGGAGTATTAGCTATACGGTGTTTGTCAAAACCCCTCAGACATTACTGACATGTTCTAATAATATCAGATGAAAAATTAACTTATCAGACATGCTGTCTCATCTGCTTCTTTTCTGAACTTGCAAAAAGTAACAAAACAATTTGAAAGCAACTATTTGTGGATTCTCTGAAAGTTTCCATCATGGAGTGTGTGACAATTTATTTTTTCATTGATCCTATCGTGTAATCTCACAGCTGAAACAAGCATCCTTAATAATCTGTGCACAGGAAGCTTACCGATGCTGTAGTAAAACAAAAGGTATAATAATTTCTTATTAATAAAACCTTGTTGCAGCACTAAAGCAGAAAAATGAGATTTTGCAATAAATATGCAAAATAGTTACATATGAATTGTTTTAGAGCCCATTTATTGACAGAATCTGATATTAATTTTAGTTTTTACAAAGAAATGGGTCCCAATGTGGTTTGTGTGGTGTTGCCATAGTGTGACGTCATAGGCACAGATCTCCTGTCCTCCTTTTTGGAAATGGAAATATGGTCGCGACACAGAGACAATTCGCTGCCTGTGACTTTGAACGTCAGTTGAGAGCGGTTGAGCGTCAGTCTCATGCAGACTGACCAATGAAGAGAGGGCCTCAAGTTAAGACCCTCTCCTCATTGGTCAGTCCGCCCGAGGTGGGTCAAAGTTTACCCTGAGCGGGTTACGTGATGTCAGGCATTTAAGTATTGAGTATATTTACTGCATATAACAGAAAAATATTCGGTATGTGACCATATTATGGTGATCCTTGGGTCGTGATGATGGGGCTCTTTAATATTGTTTCCCAGTACAACAAAGTGTTAATCTGGCCCTGGGTAGCGTTCACAGTTGCTTGCCTGAAAATGATGAACAAATCCATTCCCCTGCTGGGACAAGCCAGCTAGCATTGGAGTCAGACGACCTGTTCTCACAAGATCCACTTTTTCTTGAAAGGTCCATCTTGAAAATGGTGTGGCAAGTAAATCTGCAACCAAGTCTGTCCCTTCTCCTCTTTCAGCTATCATGTGTTCACAAATACACGATTGCTGCCTATAGATACAAATCTCCGTGTTTAGTTTTGATATTTTGATTAATGCCGCTAGAAAAGTTCAAACTACTGCTTATCCAAGGATGTGTTCATGTCAACTTTTGCGTGAGGCCAGCTAGCTGGCCTAGGCCACGCTGACTCGTGATTGTCTCTGTTTACTTACAGCGGACAGTGGGCTTCTTGATTGATTCTGAAGGCCTAGGGCAGACTTAATCTGCCTGAAAACACAAGCTAGCTGAATTCTGATTGGATAACACCCAGCCTTGGTATTTTAACACTGGAAGCAGCGCAACCAAGTGGGTATAATAGGATATAAAGAAAATAGACCAGTGAAATTTTTTTTATTTAAAAATATTTACCAAAGGAAAAAATATATATTTACGTTTTTGAGTAAGTTTAGACCAGCAGAGAAGGCTTTGCTGGCCCTGACTGCCCACCACTGCTCACACCCAAATCCAACTGACATTGAATAAATGAAAGCTAGTACCGGAAATTAGGCTTTCACTGACTTTATTGCGAGAAGAATAAATAAATACACATTTTGCTGTAACATATCATGTGATCACTTGAGTTCATGCTTCACCGGTTAGATTACTGTCTACAGAATAAACAGATAAATACAGCAGAAATATAATACATTATTTTTCCCACAAACCATAAAAGCAAGTTGTTATAAGTTAAACATTAAAAATACAAAACTTCCAATTATGTAAATAAATAAATAAATTAATTAATAAAATCGTTATGGTCTTTAATACATAGCTGGAGCTGATAGAAATACGTGCTGGAAATAGGTTAAAGATGAAAGTTTCTTAAAATCTTTTGAATATCTATTGTTTCAGGTTATTTGCAAAACATGCAACAGTAGTATTTCCTTGTCAGTTTATATTGACTTGATTGCAAGAGCTTCATATTTATGGAATAAATAGTTTGAAAACTTAATGATCAGGGGTCTCATTTATCAAACATTGCGTAGAATCCTTACTAAAACCGTACTTAAGCTCAGCAAAAAAAATGTACTTAAACCAAGTAGGTTTGTGATCTATCAAACGTGGAGTACGCACAGCTGCACGCAATCTCAGCTTCATAAATCAGAAACTATCTAGAAAGGTTCTCAGCTGCTTTTTAGTCACATCCCGCCCTCACCACGCCCACTTACTGCCATAAATAGTCAATGCAAAGTGCCTTGTGGACCTCATTCATATACATAAGCTGGCTGTTGCAGCACTCCGCCAATGACGATGGCGTCTGTAAATCAAGGCAGATCAAGGAAGCGCAATTTCATAGAAGCAGAAGTTGAGGTACTTGTGGGTGAGGTGGAGAAATGAAAGGAAGTGCCTTTGCAAAACAAACAAGATAAAATCCATGGAGTGGCACAACATTGTTGAAGCCGTCAGTGTTGTGAGTTCTTCAGAGAGATCTGTGGCGGATATAAAAAAATGGTCCAATCGGGATTCAATCCCAAGGCTCCCAGGTGAAAGTCACGCATGCTAACCAGTCACCCAAATGGAGATCTCCCCTGTACATGTAGCCAGGGTGTATTATCAATTGGGTCACAGTGACAGGACACACACTGTCACAGATGCATGACATTCTGTCTCAATCTGTCTCCCTACTGATATTCTGCGCTTCAGGCTGTGTGTGTGTGTGTGTGTGCGCGCATGTGTGTGTGTGTGTGCGCGCGCGCGCGTGTGTGTGTGTGTGTGAGTGTGCGTGCAAGTGTGTGCGTGTGAGGGGGTCTTGTTCTGTGTGAAAACGAAGCGGTACAAGTGATAATGCTGCAGGGTTTCATAATTTTATCCTTCTCAGCAGCAGCACTGCAGGTGCTCTACATAACCAAAATGTGCGTAAGCCAGGTCCTTAGTCAACTTAAATTTGCGCACATTTTTCCGCTAAGTTTTCTTTCATAAATCCCAAAGTTTGCGTGGAAAGTTGCTTACGCAGTTTTCCGACCCCGTTTTGTGCGTAAGCAAGCTTGATAAATGAGGCCCCTGGATGACATAATCTATACGAACATGTGAAAACTTAATGTAACTTATCAGAAAACATTTTTATTGTTGATCTGATGATACTTTGTCACAAACAATAAAACAATGTGGTCATCTAAATGAACTAACTGCATTAACTTTAAAACTGTTTCTGAAAAAAAAATCTGTGAATCAATAACACCCAAATTCATGCATAAGTAAAAAAAAAAACAACTAAACATTTTAAACATTTGTAGTTTTAGTCTGAGTCAGAGGTCCACACAGAGAAGAGTGTGCATAAAAACACAATGACTGATGTGATATAAAAAATGCTGAAAATGGTGTTAAATTTGTTAGTCACGTTGGTCCAGTAGCCAGGTTCCACCTCTTCCTTCTTGCTGCTGAGAAGGAAAAACTTTTTCATCTTTCCCAGTTCATCTGACACTTTTTCCACTGCAAGAAATATCTCAGTCAGCTGGCTGCTGCTGCTGTCCTGAAAGAGTAGTTTAGTTAAGACGTTATATTTTGGCAAAGGCACTTAACACTTTAATTTTACCAAACATATAGGAGGAGTTTGGGTTGGGAGGGGATGTTGTTTTTGTGTTCTGGTGTGTGTGTGTGTGTGTGTGTGTGTGTGTGTGTGTGTGTGTGTGTGTGTGTGTGTGTGTGTGTGTGTGTGTGTGTGTGTGTGTGTGTGTGTGTGTGTGTGTGTGTGTGTGTGTGTGTGTGTGGTGGGGGTGGGGTGTGGTGTGGTGTGGTGGTGGGTACACTGGATCCATGTGGGACTGGGTTGTTTGTGGTTTGGGTTTCACAGGCAAGGCTTCTTATGCTATGTTCATGCTTTCCAAGTTTATGATTGATAGACTTGTCTGGAATTGTCTGAATGTCCGATTACATGTGTACGCTGGAATGGTAAACCCATTAATAATCCTTTTAACCCTCCCACTGTCTTTATGGGTGACCCCGCGAGGAAAGTTGACCATTGAGCAGGATTGATGGTTTATTCCTTGAGGTCCACGTGGCAGGGGTGAGGTGGTGCTCACTCCTATGCAGCAGCTCATCAGGCTCTGCAGAAGTCTGTCAATCACCTACTAGTTAAAATCAGGTGTGGTGAAGCAGGGTTAAAACCAAAACGTACTGGATACCAGCCCTTGAGGCCCGGAACTGAATAGCCCTGGCCTAGACCCTTTAACTGCTTTGTTTGGAGTAGTTTCGATGGAGGAATTTTTGAACAAATACCAGTTGGACATGATTGCCTTTTTCTGTTTATTGGCTAAAAGACTTATATTGTCTAGATGGAAAGATGGTCATCTCCCAGCATACGGTCACCGTGCCAGTAAACTGATGGGTATATTCATCTGGAGAATATTAGACACAGACAGAGGGGCTCAGTGGGGCAGTTTTGTGTTGTTTGGTCAACGGTTATGTTGTGTTTGATAGTGTACCTTTAGATCATTTTTTGTGATTCTTTTGTTTCTTTTGTAGGTTGAACTTCGTGTTTTGATTTAGTGTTGTTGAAACCTTTGTTTTAATTATTTGTCTTTTTGAGTTGGATCCAGTGTTGCAGGGTGTTTAAGGGTTTGTTATTGTTCTGTTTTGAAAACTGTTAAAAGTTTAATAAAAAATACTTTGTCTTCCCCCCCCCCCCCCCCAAAAAAAATTTTTAAATAAAAAACCATCTGAAGAATTACTTTTAAGCGTTGGTTCTCAATCCTGCTCCTGGAGAAGCCACTCCACAGCTAAGATTCTCTCGGTGTGTACTGGCACACAGCAAAGCTCGCAAGTTAACCTTTCTGCTGCTGTTCCACGCCACTGGTAGCTCCAGAGTGAAGTAGGAGTTTATCATCTGATGGTTGAAATCAGGTGTGTTGAACAAGGGTTAAAACTAAAGCATGGATGGTACTGGCCCTCCAGGACCAGGAGTGAGAACCACTGCTATGGTTTGTTGAGGTTGTTCTTTGTCTTGACTAAACTCAGCAATCCCTCAATGAAAATGCAATAGTTAAAAAAGCATTTCAGAATTAAATGAAAAACATTTGGTGCATTATCTACTCCAATAGAACATCAAATTTCAAATATTTGGAAAAATGTAACATTTCTCAGGAGTGTTATCAAAAAGTGTAAGGAACCATTTTTTTGTTTAAAATTAATAAAACAGAACCTCAAGGTCCATTTTATGGTTCATTTCTTTTGTAGAGTTCATACATAAAATGATTTACCATATAAGTGCAGGTTATGAAATGAATGCAGAGATCATGCTCATAAGTTATTTGAAAAGATGCAATGGTCTCTTTTCTAAACAAAACAAACCTTAAATTTTTTTACCAACCTCTTTGTAGATAGACGATATTTGATCACCCATCTCATCGTGGATAGGCCCACCCTTCTCTATTTCTGGATAGATTTAGAGGACACGAGTGAGTCAAACATTTTAAGGGATTTCTGTGTACAAAATTATTAAAACTGAAATCAAATTCTGTAGTTTAAAATGTCCAAGATTAATTAAAGAAAACAGCATTTTAAATGTGCCACCTCTCTCCTCTTTCAGTCCCGAGCCATTTTTGTTTTTTCTGTCCTGGGATGTTGAGTCTTTCTCCGCCAAATACTTCATTAAAATGGCCTCCAGGAGGCTGAGCAGCATCAGTGCAAAAGTTCCAATGCAGTAAACCACTATGAGGAAAAAGACAGCTCATTAAAGAAAATGCACAATTTGTTTTTTCTATCCCCATTCATATAGATGAGCTCTAGTTAGAATCAAATTTGGAGTGAACAGAACAAAGTTAAATTATTCATTATAACTGCAAAAAAACATTTAATGGTGGCATGTTTCAAGGTCTTTTAAATTGGGTTTGATTTAGTTTTGTTGTTTGTTGTCTTGTGATGTCATGTTCTATGGCTTTCTCTATGTTCAGCATGGTTAAATAGATTTATTTTTTTGTATTTGTATGCCTTTATTTTACTGTCCATGAAGTTTATATCATATACCATTGTATTGTATGGTTTGGATGTTTTACTGCTGACATTTGTTTATAGATTGTTTCTCACCTATTTTTTATTTGTCATCAGGTCCTTCTATAATTTAGCCTGATTTTTTTTACTTCACTGTCTAACTACTGTTGACTTTTTTCCTTTCTTGTTTTAAATGGCCAAATAGACACTCAGCTTTCCTCTCTGGTTAATGTTTTCATCTCGTCCACCATCTTTATAATATTATCTTAGAGCACAATTCCCAAATATACATGTTACTGGGACGTATCTTGTGGCATTTACCTATTAGTGGAATCCTGCGTGATGTAAAAGGTAGAATCTCGTTGAGAAGAAGCTGCATCACTGTGACTGCAAGCAGAACAGTGATTTTGAAGCCAATTTTCTCGCCTCCACTGTTTGACATCATGAGGGAGGCAAAGTCCAGGCACAAGAAGAAGAGGATGGGAAGCAAGAAGTTGGAAACATAGAGCATAGACTTTCTCCTCATTTTGATCTGTGAAAGGATGTGAGTTGTGGTTAAACACGTAACTCCTATATGTTTGGCATTGCCACTTCTTTGACTGAATAAGCTTACAGGCAACACTCAAAAACCAACATCAACTGATCGCACTATAAAGCACCGAGCGTGATCTACAGCTCCACATTGTTTTCAGTGTGCTGTGACATGATGATATGAATTTTTAACCACAACTTAAACCAGAAAAAGAAATGTGAAGTTTAAAAGTTTTCTCAGCTCAAGTCATACTCACAGTGTAAATGATGACAGTCTGATCGTCGCCAAAGTAATGAACTGTTTTTTTGTGCGCTGACTGATTCAAAAACTCCCACTCATACTGTGAATCCATTACCTCCTTAGACCACGCAGTGAGTAATGCATTGTCCTCAGTGATGTGGAATTGTAATTCTTCATCTGAAGTGATAAAAAGAAAACAACATTCAAGGAACATGTAGTGAAATGTAAACATTTATATATCACCAGTTATCTCAGTTAACTCAAACACATTTATAAATGACCCTGCTACTATTTAATTAATATCAGATTGTTCAAGTGCAATCCAGACTGATTCAAACTCTTTTCACGTGGCCAACATTAGAGAGCATGAAGAACATGTAAACTGAGCTCACCAGTGTACAAAACAGATTTGAAGGTTATGTTGCAGCTCTGAATGTCAAAGGGGAATTTGTAAACTTGCATCTTGCAGGTGCTGATGACAACCTTGTCATTCCTATAAAATGTATAACCCTCATGAGATATCTGAAGGAAAGGGCTTGGTGGGGCTTTGTCCTTCTCTACCCTGTAAAAATACAATTTTGTTAAAGAGAATAATCCTTAAATTAGTTGTCAGTCAAGAAAATTGTGAATGAAAAGGCTCCCAGCTTCTTGAATGCTCATGCAAAAGCTTACGTCACAACTCAGTCATTCTGGTCATCAAAGGATTGCCGGCTAGCACCGCTTACATTAGCCTCCAAAAAAATCCAAGCACTGTGTGTATCGTTCTATATCACTGCAATAACTTATTGAACACTACCAGAAAAGTGGTATTCCTGCTGGCAGCCTATTGAAGCCCCAACTTTTAAAACTGCATCTCCTACTGCCGCACGGGCAAGAGCCACACCCACGCAAGCGGCACACACTGGGTGAGTATCCCACGAGGTGATTTTGTTCCCGCAGGGGCAGAGCTTGGGGCTTTCCTCGGCAACGTTAGCTGCAGTGACCATTTTTGGCGACCACTAGTAAGCCGTGTCAGTGCTCTCAAAGCTTTGTGCAGCTAATGGTTAGAGCAGAGGAGAAAACATTGCTATTTCACCCTGTTAATATATGTCATTGATACCGGAGTGTGTTGGGTATTGCTAGTTGAGAAGGATTTGTGTGACTAGTTGAGAGGAGTATTGCTACTTCCATGAGCTAGAGAGCAACTGTATGGCTGAGAACTAGTGCCCAGTGACAGAGTTGTGCATCCTGTCAATGGACAGTTTAGCTTAGCTCCCAGTGGTATAGTTGCATAAAGGCTTCTGAGCGAAGTGAGAAGTGGAATTTGAATTATGAGTGACGCCATGCCAGCCTTATAGGGTGAAGGTCTGACTCCTCCTGTCATAGACATCACCTATGCCAGTCAACTATGGCTGGCGTAATGATATTTAAGTTTCTGATGAAATCACGCAGGAGGCGTTCCTCATAGTGAGACACGAAACGAATTCTATGAAAGAGAACCGGGGTTATCGCCATAACCTTGAGATTTTACCTATAGCCCAAAAGTTGTCACCAAAAAAGGGTCATGCACTTTAATATTGTATTAGCCTAGAAGTACAGACAGACCATAGCACAAGGAAAATGATGTTGCTCTGTAGGTCAGTCTGGCCACGCTCCATTAAAGCATCAGCAGACATGAACAGTCTTGCGTCTTGCCAATCACAGAGCTCTATCGATTTGGTTGGCGGGATGATGCGACTGTGCAAAACAAAGATGGCAGCAACTCGTTTGAAACAACTTTGGCATCAACTTTGGACTACTTAGATTTGGGCTTTCTTTGAGTCCTTTATTTAGAAATCGGATGTATTTGTGTTTTCTTCGACAGTGTGGTGGACAGCCCCATTGACTGACATCCATAGTGGTGTATACGTCACGTTTTATTTTGTCCAATAGCATGTGGAGACAGTTTAAAAAAAACTGTAGATTCCACCCCACGACTGAGATCTATTCATGTGTCATGACCAGACTATATACTTATGTTTATATTTATAAGTTGGATTGCTAGGCCAGTATTGCGTAGGACCACTTTAAACTTTGATTATGACATGAATTAGCTGTGTCTCTAATTGTTTCTTGTGTTAAGCCTGCTCATACTGCATTTGGATACTCAAACACACACTACTCAGTAATGCTCTCATAAAATGTTTTGGTAAAATTGCAATTTATGAGTTGAAAGAAAACAGTTTAAATGAAAGATTGAATTTGGGGGGGAACACATCTAAAGTTTTGTATTTTAAAATCTGCACTATTATAGATTTCAGATAATTAAAAGCTAAATAAAAAATGTGTTTCAGAAAATCATGTCAAGTCTTATTAGTTCGGTCCTGTCATCCTGTGATTGATCATAAAACTTTCTGTAATTGTAAAAATAAACATTTTTTGTTAAAAATGCCTGTAAATGTCTAACTTGAATTTTAAGAAGCTTAGTTTTTAGTTTTAACTAGATTTTATAAAGTAAACATTGACTGAATATCAAACAAATACATTCTACTATTTATTTTGAGTAACCTTTACATGGTGTGGGCTTCTTCTACTAGCACACTTAAGTTAATTGAACTTCACAGTGTATAAGTTATTGTTACAGAGTGTCTAAGTTATAGTTACCTGCAAAAAACTAGTACCAAAACCTTTAAAGTGCATGCTACCTTCACTTACAATATACACAGCAAATTTAATAGTTTGGATTTTGGGGTGTTGGTCCAAGGGTTAGGGTAGGGTTAGGGCAGGGTTAGGGTAGAGCAACATGTTCCACAGGTGTCTGTGCGCGCACATAGTGGCTGGGTAGCGTTTCGCCTACATCTTTATAACTGTTCTGTCTTGCGGAGGAGCTCATGTGTGCATCTGTGTGAAACTCTCATAGGAAAAAAGAACAGAAAGAATGGCTCCCCCCCAGCCGCGACTCGGCTCCCATCGGTCATGTTTATGAGCCATTCAAAAGAATCGGTTCGTTCACGAATGTCCCAACTCTAGTCCATTGATGGAACAAAGAATGTGACAGAGTCATCTGCACTAGAAACAAAGCTTTCAAGTGGCTTAAAAAACACCCCACCGAGACAAATGTAATTACATGTAAACGACTGAAGGCCGTAGCCAGAAGAATATTAAAAGACGCAAAGAAAAAGAGCTGGAAATCCTTTTGTAGTGAACTGGGCCCAAATAGTTCAATGGGAAAACTGTGGAACAGAATGTCAGGTTTTTTATTTCTAAGCACACCCCCTGCCCCGCAGAGCTCAGTGCAATAGAAACCGAGCGCCAACCAGAACTAACCAATAGCGTTAAACTATTGCTTACGTGTTTCAAATTTAAAGAATACCTCGGCTGATGCAGAGTTGATGAACTTTTCACAGACAAATTAAATATAAATATATGAGAACACAACATGACGTGTGAATAATACTTGTAAAACAATGTGTTTTAGTTCTTTTTGTCAGCCATATAAATAAACAAGAAACATGAAGTCGCCAAGCTGAATAAGAAATTGTTTGTGTGATATGATTGTCAGCCACTAGATGGTGCCATCTGGGTTTCCAGTGTACCCACAATGCACATCGCCCACCAGTTCTTTATTGTTCCTGAAATCCATCACAATTACTTGTCCTTAGTTGTTTTTCTTATGTGTCCACAAACATTAAAACATTTATAAGTCTGTTTGTTTAGCACACTTACATTTCTTCAATAGTTATGTCTGGCTGCCACAGAGTGTCAGTTGGAACTATGACTTTTGAAATTCCACAAAAATCCTCTTCTTCCCAACTGATGAATTCATTTTTCCAGACCTAAAATGTGTAGAAAAACATGAGTAGATGTGGGAAAAAAAAGATGAGAATGGAAAAAGATTGTAGTTTAACTTGATATGATTTATCCTCCAGTCAGTAAGTAAATATTTTGTAACTGTTTGTTAACTAAATAGGGAAAACTTACCATTTCAATCCAAACATAGACTATAAATGTTTGGTCAGCCACTCTCTGTGGATGAAGGACAGTATAGGAACATAGCAAATAGAAATACAGGCAGGATGGCTTTAATTTAAAAATTAGGCGACAAAATATCCATTTATTAATGGCAACATTTAACAAAATGTTAGAAAGTAACGTCAACAAATTCATTAATCCATGACTTTATAGAGTAATGATATAGACCTATTAAACAAGTCTTTTGGATCTGTTTTTGCAATCTTTGCAGTAGCGCCGGTCTTCATCTGTTGACAGTTATTTTAATTTTGACATTCTGACTATGAGTTAGACTTGAGTATTCTCTCCATAAAACTAACACAAACATGGCAACCAAAGATAAAACCAAACGAGACTTTATCTCAAGTCAAAACCCTAAAAAACTGACAGAAAAAATATATAAACAACTTACCACATCCAGGATGGCATAGACCACCATTACTAGGTAAAGATTTGTCTTTTGTTTGTGATCTTTAACAGGTCGGGTCAGGGTATACATCTCCTTGTTTTTAGTGAAGTTCAGGTAATTTAAAACGTCTAGATAACTGCAGGTATGTGCTGCAAAAACACAAAATATCTTATTTATTGTTTCATTATTATTTAAAAGGAAAAAAAGCATGTTTTGTGATTTTAGTTATGTAACTGGGCTAGATTTTGTTCACACTGCATTAAGACTTGTGTGGAAGGATTATGCACACATTCAACAACAATTCATTAGTTCTTACCTTTTGTGTCAGAACTGTGGTTGGATGTCTGATTACCAGCATCTGATAGCTCATAACGCATATTATTTATATCTGTCAAGAACAATAAGTGAGATCATAAGATTATTGATTTTACATTTACATTTTTGGTTTGATTAAGTGTCAATGGAATTAACTGTCATCTGTATCTGTCAAACACAAAGCCCAGGGATATATACAGTGTTTTAATGAGATGAGAAGAAAAATCATCCATCCATCCATCCATTCATTTTCTTTCGTTTTTCCAGAATCAGGTCGTGGGGGCAGCAGCCTAAGCCAAGAGGCCCAGATTTCCCTCTCCCCAGCCACTTGAGCCACCTCCTCCAGGGGAATCCCAAGGTGTTCCCAGCCAGCCGAGAGACATAGTTCCTCTAGCGTGTCCTGGGTCTTCCTTTAGGTTTCCTCCCGGTTGGACGTGCCTGGAAAACCTCACCAGGGAGGCATCCTAATCAGATGCCCGAGCCACCTCAACTGGCTCCTCTCGATGTGGAGGAGCAGCGGGTCCACTCCAAGCCCGCAGCGCTTGTTACACAAGATAACATACTGTCAACAAACTGTTCTTTTCAAGGCCTCTGCTTTCCCCCTTATCGGTTCTACAGGATTTTAGAAAAGTGAACTTTTACAACTCAAAAATTAAATAATCATAAGGTTGAATGAACAGATGTTATTTGAATAATAATAATAATAATAATGTTTAAATAATCTGTGCCTAAATTAATGAAGATTAAATGAATATTGTTCTGACAATGATATTACATATTTTGATCAGTGCTGTGATACAACAAGTTAATCCTTATCTACACTCATACACAATGTTCATAAAATATAAAATTATGTGAATTATTTTTTTTATTTGTGCTGATTCAATCATGAAGTGCTTTATGAATAAAACTTGATTGAATGATCCTGAGTCAGCAAAGGGTAGAAGGCCTTCTCCGGGTCAGGGATGAGGTCCTGCCCCAAGTGGCGGAGTTTAAGAATCTCACGGGGTTTTGTTCACAAGTGAGGGAAAGATGGAGCGTGAGATCGACAGGCAGGTTGGTGATGCATCTGCAGTGATGCGGGCATTGTGCTGGTCTGTTGTAGCGAAGAGAGAGCTGAGCCGAGATGATGAAGCTCTCGATTTATCGGTCAACCTGCGTTCTAACCCTCACCTGTGGTCACGAGCTTTGGAAAGTAACCAAAAGAACGAGATTGTCGATACAAGCGGCCAAAATTAGTTTTCTCCCCAGGGTGTCTGGGCTCTTCCTTAGAGATAGGGTGAAAAGCTCTATATTCCTTGACGGGGAGTTTAAAAACCACTTAGAAAATGGAATTATCAATAGATGGCCGGACACTGTGTAGGTCAATATGTAGGTGAAAATTAAACCCTTTCTGGACACTCAACTTCTCACACACCCTCCTCACACTCATGCATTCACACTCACGCAGAGCTGGATGAGTAAATAATTTTGTATTTGGCATTTCTTAAAAACGGAACAATTGTGGATCACAAAATTTAAAAAGAGGCAGATGATGTTAAAATTTATGGGTTTCATACCAAGGAATTCAGCAAAGCTCTCATTGGATTTGTGTTGATCATTCTGAAGCTCTTCTGACTCTAAACAGGAAATATTTCCCACTGGAAAAAAAAAACATTAATGTTACCAATAAAGTAACCAGTAACAAGCTTCTACCATTTTCATTGCTGAACTCAAACAAGACTAATTCTATCATCCATTCCATAAACGTCTTTCAACTCTGTGACAAGTAAAGGTTTTCTGTGTAATTAAATTATAACTAGGAAGCACCCAAATTTCCCAACACCTTGTTGCAATTATCATAAAAATGCTTAATTAAGTCAACTTTTAAACTCAATGACACATTTAATTAGTTGCTTAATAATCCAATGAAGAAAATGCTTTAAAAGGAAAGATGTTTAGTCAAATAGCAGACTACACACACAAGCATCAATAATCCGATCTTACCTATGAGGAGCAGAAAGCAGATGGAAGTAAGAGTCATGATGCTGACAACTGAATCAGCAGCTTTGTTGTTTCTGAGCTGTCTGAAGATGTTTCCTGCTGTGTCCGTGTCACTGCCACAGAAAGCCAACCCCCTAGCTCTTAATTAGACAGTTAGTGCTACAGAGTGCTAGCACCTAGCACTCTGTAGCACTAACACACTGAGGAGTATATTGCTGCTTTCACACTGAACGATTATTGAATGATTGATCCTTTCCATTTTGGTAATTTATGTAGTTTTCTGGAAGAGAAAACAAAAGACTCAGAATAAACACATGCAATCTCATGCTCACTCAGTAACAACTATTTTGAGGACATTTGACAATTTTATTAGAAATGTTCACAATATTTATGAGCACCACAGCACTAATGTAAACTCACAATATAAAAAAGTTACTATTTGGCTTGTGACCTATTTTGACAAGATATCATAAAAATAAACAGCAAATGTTAGAAATATAATATTTGGCCATAGTTTATCTAGATTTACTGCTGTCTCATTATTCTGTTTTTGGAAAGAAGTGAAAACCTTGAGCAAAGCAGCCATGCTCTCAAAATGAACTGATAAAGATGCAGCTGCGGTTGAAAGGACTCAGGTTGGGATTGCTGGTTAATTCAGCATCCACGGGCAAGTAAGTCAATAAAATGTATTTTTAGAGCACCTTTCACAGATAAGTTCATCACAAAGTTCTGTTTAACACAAGTAAAAACTGCATGGAACATTGTACGTAAGGAAAATGTATCCAAACAAAGATGAAAGATAAAAAATCACAAAAATATTTTCTAAATCTCACATCCTTGCCAATTTACTTCAATGAATTTATACACCTATGTTTATGTAACCGGATTACAGGATACAATAAGATAATTAAAAGAAAAAATAAACAAATGGGCCAATAATTAGGTTCGGGGAGAATTGGAGGTTGTTTAAGAATGACTGGAGTCACGGGTATAGCATGAAACGGTTTATATACTAAATTTTAATAATAATGGGAAATATAACACATAAAGATAACACACAAAAACAGATGAAAACAATCAACAATAGTAAATTGGTCGGTATGAGATTTGATCATATGAGTCACAAGTCAGCCGGCGTCAAGTCAAATCCCCACGCTTGGGGTGAAAGTCAGAGTCCGGTGGTGCGATTTTTTCCTACCACACCGTTGAGATTGTTCACAGAAGAGAGCAGTCTGCTCTTCAGTTACTTGAGATGTCCTGGTTCGTTCAGTGGTTAAGGCTCGCCATCTCCCTCGTCAGGAAGAAATCCAGTTCTCGTTCCAAGTGAGTGATCATAGGAGTCGGGATCAAACCCAAGGAAAAAAAAAACCCAGCCAACGCGCTCCAACGGTTCCCTCCTACAGAGGATTGGTTCACTCTGTCGTCTCCACACAAATCGCGTTGGTTCCAAGTTCCTAGCTCTTATTAGAAGGAGTCAAGTCCGCCTCTCCCTCTATCTATGCGGCACCCAAATCGGGGTTCTTCACGGCCTCGACCGTTGTTTTTTTTTTTCTCTCTCTCTCTCTCTCTCTCTCTAACCGCTCAGTCTTTGCTTTCTGTATCTGCGTGCTGCACAGCCGTTTGTCTCTCCTCTCGCTCAGCTGCGTCGCACGGTTTTATTTCGCGGAGGCGGGACTTATTTCTCTCAGCCAATGAAATTTCAGATTCCCACCTGGACCAATAGTATACAGCTTTCCTCTTCTGTTTCTGTTAGGGATGTTCAAGATTCTTGTTTTAACCGATGTTTAATATTAAACTCGTTATTTTAGTTATTCACCCTTCCAATAATTCATTATGAAATTATCTATTAGTTAATTAGATATCTATTAATTAGTATTGTTAATTTCCTTAATTTATATTTTATATTTTATCTAAATTGAGGATGGATCATATTAGTAAGCCAATTAGTTAATACCTCATTAAGGTTCTAGCTTCTGGGTTACATCCTCCCCCATTAAATATCATGCACGTCCCTGTGCATTGTTTCTACGGGGTACACAACTTCTTGAGTAAGAGAGTCAATAAAAGCTTTATTAAGTCCTTGGAAAAGGGACCTAACTACGGTCACTAGTGGATTGCCCAATTGAGAGTAAGTTAGTCTTTGAGGAGGCTGACTACTTCGTTCAGATCTCCTGACATACATCTCTGGTTGCACAGTATCATGCTCATCCGTTTCGGTTTGATTCTCAACTGAGACAGGACGAAGTGAGCTCTCTGTTTCCGACAGAGCTGATGAGCTATTCTCTAAGACTTTGGTCTTTTCAGATGTATGTGTCTGATCGTGTATGATGGGTTCAAAACTTACATCACGTTGCTGCGACTTTAGGACACCATCCAATTGAGGTAGGTTTGTGTTAGTTTCATCCCCCGTTTCTACGTCAGGTAAGTATACTCCGTTTTTTTTCGTTTTTTCAGGTAAGTATGTTGCTGCTTCTTTCACTCTTTCAGGTAAGAATGTCGCAGTTTCACTCATTCTGTCAGGTAAGAATGTTTCGGTGTTGATGCCTTTGTCAAGTAAGGACAATTCAGCATTTTCATTACCAGCTAAGGTTGGTTCCTTGCGATCCCCTGTGTGTAAGGATAGTGTGTTTTGTTGTTGAATATTATTTACCGGTCCTGAATCTGCTATGAGTTCCCTATTTGGCAAGGTGACCGCTATTTGATAGGATGGTCGGTTTAGCACTTGTGGAAGATCAGAGTAATAAAACTCATCTACCTCTTCGTCAAGTGGCTCATCTGGGTCAGGTTCTAAGGCTGAACTCTGTCTTGTATGAGGTCTGCTAGGTTTCGTAACGCGTTCTGTTTCATTTTCTAATGAAGAGAGAAAACCACAAGGCAGTAAAAGATCTCTGTGGAGTGTTCTGTTGGGTCCTTCTCCGTTCTCTGGTTTTACAGTGTATACTGGCAAGTTTTCCATCTGTTTGAGAACTATATACACTGTTTGCTCCCATTTGTCTGCTAATTTATGCTTTTCTCTTAAGCGAAGATTTCGGACTAAAACACGATCTCCCACACCTAGTGTGGACTCACGAATGTTTCTGTCGAACCGTTCTTTGTTCTTCCTCGCTGTTTTTTGAGAGTTTTTTATGACAATGTCATAACTCTGTTCCAGATGACTCTTCAGTTCTTTAACATACTGAGAATGAGTTATAGAGGGCTTGTTCAAATGCGGTAACCCAAAGGCAATATCTATAGGCAACCGAGGCTGCCTACCGAACATTAGCTCGTAGGGAGAGTATCCCGTCACGTCATTTTTTGTACAATTGTACGAGTGAGTAAGTGGTTTTACAAAATCGCGCCAGTGATGTTTCTCAGTGGCTTGTAAAGTTCCCAACATGCTGAGTAATGTACGATTGTACCGTTCAACGGGGTTGCCACGAGGGTGATAAGGGCTCGTTCTGACTTTACGGATACCAAGTAAAGAACAAAGTTCCTTGATTGTACGTGATTCGAAATCCCGTCCCTGATCACTATGAAGACGCTCAGGAAACCCGTAGTGGACTAAAAAATGTTCCCACAGGTTCTTCGCGACGGTGGTGGCTTTCTGATCTTTGGTTGGGATGGACACTGCATACTTTGTAAAATGGTCTGTAATCACTAAGACATCTTTAGTGTTCTTACTGTCTGGTTCTATGGAGAGAAAATCCATGCAAACTAACTCCATAGGTCTGGTGGTGGTAATACTCACCATTGGAGCAGCTTTGTCAGGGAGGGCCTTCCGACGGATACATCTTTCGCAAGTTTTAACTTTGATTTCGATATCACTAGCCATTCTTGGCCAGTAAAAACGGGACCGAATGAGATCTGTCGTACGTTCAACCCCAAGATGCCCCATATCATCATGTAGGCTTTGCATGACTGTTGAACGTAATGAATCAGGCAAGACTAACTGCAATGATGTCTCCGGTCCTAATTGGCGTCTCCGGTACAGTAAATCATTTTGAAACTCAAACCGTTTCCACTCTCTCAAAAGGTTAAGAACCACCGGGGGTTCTGCAATAGTATCAGTTGGCGGTTTATTGTCAGTCATAAGCAGCTGAATGACTCGGCCAATGGTTGGATCTTTCCTCTGCAAGGAGACAAGGTCAGCATGGTTATACTTGGGCACAGCAAAGAAACTGTCACTATTGTCTTCCAACTGGAATAGGTCTGGAATGGCCGCTGCAGACATGGCAAGTGACTGAACTAAACCACAAGGAGAATCAGTCTCATCCAAGACCATGTGCTTTTGGCATGTTGCCTTCACTGCTTCGGCTTGAAGTTGAAGCTCGACTTCTTTGACAGAGGATAAAAGATGAGATCGGAACTCATCTAGTCGTTGGCATTCCTCAGTGAATTTTGAGTTGTCTTCAGGTTTATCATGCAGCCTCCTAGACAGGCCATCCGCGTCAACGTTCTGTGTACCTGCACGGTATCTGATGTCAAAATTATAGGTGGACAACGCAGCTAGCCAACGATAGCTCGTTGCATCGAGTTTTGCCGTTGTTAAGAGGTAAGTTAACGGATTATTATCAGTAATGACAGTGAATGTGTTCCCATACAAATAGTCATGAAACTTATCTGTTATGGCCCACTTTAAGGCTAGAAACTCCAACTTGTGCGCAGGGTACCTAGTTTCACTAGAGCTTAAACCGCGACTTGCATAAGCGATTACCTGTGTGACACCGTTTTGCACTTGGTATAGCGCTGCACCGAGTCCGGTCGTACTAGCATCTGTGTGTACTAGATATGGGAGTTTTGCGTCAGCGTAGCCAAGAACTGGCGAAGTGGTAAGTTTTTCAATAATAGTTTGAAAGGACTTCTCACAGTCTTGGCTCCAACGATTCCCAAAGGGTTCTTTGGGGTTCAAGTACTTTGATCTACATGGTGGTGTTTTAAAGTTTTTCCGTTTGGGTGGATAACCAGCCGTGAGAGATGTTAGTGGCTTGACAATATTTGAGTAATCTTTAATGAAGCGTCGGTAATAACCGGTAAATCCTAAGAAAGATTGGAGTTCCTTCAAAGTCTGAGGCTTCGGCCATGTTTTGAGTGCTTCCACCTTATCTGGATCGGTTTTTATGCCATCTCGAGATACTATATGTCCAAGATAACGCACAGATGTCTGGAAAAAACGACACTTATCTGGTGATAGCTTGAGTCCGTATTCTCTAAGCCGTTCAAGAACGTGAGAAAGTCTGGTTTCGTGTTCTTCCAAGGAGTTGGAAAAGACGATC